GCTGCGGGGTGCAAAGAAACCACTTTATTGGGACAAACGGGAGAACAGCATCAGAGGAGAGTCCCGGGGGCCGCGGGAGAAAGTACAAAAATAGAGCGGAGCGGTCAACGAGGCGGCACCCCCGCTCCCCCCGCCCCGGGCCTGTGCTCCCCCCCAGCCCACCCCGAGAGCAGCCGCGGTTGCAGCGTTTTCCTCAAAAAAAACCCCAACAACAAACCCCGGCGGGCTGGGTGAAGGCAAAGCAAAACCGTCCTGCCTCGAGGAGGCGGCGATGGAGACTGCACCCCCCCCGCCGCGGCTGCGGTTCCCTCCATCACCGAAAGCATCTCGAAATACTGTAGTCAGCACCTGTAGCAGCATTAACTCCAGGCTCAGCACGGTGAGTCACATCAACAGATGTTTGCACAAAGCCACCCGTTTAGTTAAAGGATGCGTTATAAAAATAGTGTTTAAAAAGAAGCATAAAAGGAGTTTTAGAGTGATGGAAGTGTTCTCTACACCCTGTTCTGGCAATTCTTTCCAGACAAGGTAAAAAAAAAAAAAAAGTGTTATTTGTTCCTCTCTTTCAGGGAAAGGACATTTTAGAAGAGCACTCCAAACAGCTAAAACAAAGTCACTGACAGCCTTAAGGGAAAACAGCCTCATCTTTCCCAAACACCCCAGACTCCCCCCAAGCAACTTCTGGCCTTCATTATACTCACTGCCAAAGGGTGAATAATTCTAGGTTAGGTCACAAAATTTAAACTCAAAATCAGTGTTCTGAGTGACAGTCACCACTGACTTGATCTCTAGTACCCTGTTGCTTCTACCTCACTGGCAAAGCCAGTTTCTCAAAGCTGAACGACAGTGGGGTGCAGGTAGAGCAGACCTCACCCTCCCAGGGAAGGCCCATCTTTCCCCACCCCCAGCACAGCATCCTGTTTTTCCTCCCAGTTGAAGATGGGTCCCCCTTCCCCAGCCTGGCAGTAATCCTGCCTGCGAGGAACGCATTGTAAGAGCTATTTAAACGTCCTCTGTTTAGGCCTCTATGAAACAAGGCGTTCCCCAGGCACCCCAGACTAACACCTCTCAACCCAAAGAACTGCCTCTTCAGCCAACCTCACTGCTCCTGCAGCAGATTAGGACTGAAAAAAAAATCAGAGATGGAAACATCTCAAGGGTAGAGCAGTTGTTATTTGGTCACACAAGCAAGGAACCACTAGCTAAATACTGACCTCAACAACAAAATCATCAAAAGCCTTTGAGGAACAAAGCCAAGCAAACTCACGAGGAGATTCAAAAGCTGGTAACAAGACTTTTTCTCCCCTCAGAAAATCTGATTTTGCTTTTAAAGAAAGGAGAAAATCTTGGAATAAAGAAATGGATTTCCTAAGGCATTGAAGAGTACAACTACTCCTTTCAACACAGGACAGAATTCCTACCACACAGGAGAGAATAAGGAATAATATAAAAGCTTTTCATGCAGGAACCAGCCTGTCTGGGGTTATCAAAGTTGTTACAAGTTCTCCCCAAATAACTCAATCAGTTTAGCAGCCATAGTCTGGATAAGGCTGCAGAATTTATCCCAGAGAACCCTTCCAGCAGCCAAAGCTCTCATCGCATCCCCTTAAAGCACTGCAGACTCCCTTTAAAAGCATTTACTGCCATCCCCTGAAAAGAAGCAAGATGGCATAATGTAAGCCCCTCAGCACCCAGGAAGGGAGAAGACAGAATGACACCCATACCCAGCCACGTCCCCGGTGTCTTCCTCGAGTCTGTACACTACAGACCAGCACCTGGCTCAGAGCTGGGCAACTCCACCGCAGGAGGCCAACGGCTACTCTGAAAACAAGCAGAAGTTAATCTCCAAGTAATGCTTTAACCCTGATTTGCCTGTGCCTTCTCAGGATATTTTAAGGAGACTTCTAGTTGTTCAGAGCAGGAACCCTCACGGCTGGTCCTGTCAGCAGTGAGAAAATACAGTGTAAGGGAACCCTACGCTTGCCAGGGGGACCCAAAATGGACAGCCCAGGTATTGAGGGAGGAGAACGCAGAGCTTGCACATGGAATGTGAGAGCTACAGCCGTATTTAGAGCAGTTCTGAAACAGAAGTGTTTAGAGGAGGTCCAATTCTGCCTAAGAGTCTGACCCTCTAGTTCTACATCTGTGCCTACCAGCTAGCCATTTGGCCAGGAGAGGTCTGACTACTGGCCTCTCCAGTGCAGGGTACCCAAGAGCTGAGACCAGGAGACCACCTGGAGTAGCTCAGCAATACAAGGCAGGAAGGAAGAACATCCTTTGGGAGGTTAGAGCAGCTGTCCCGGTCTATTGGTTCCATATTTCTTGGAAGAAAACTCTACCCTCTAGAAAGGATTGTAGCAGAGAGGGATACTGTTAGCCACTGGTATTAATTACAGATTGTTTTAAGTCTTCAGTTGCTTTTGCTTCACCATAGCAGCAACACCTGGCTGCACCAGTGTTACTCAAGCATCTTCTGAAGGGGCAGAGATTGCTTGGGATTGCCAGCGAGAACACAGGTACATGCATCAACCCGTCCTCTGGTCTTCTCCCCACCCACCTTTCTGAGAATTACAGTAGCCTGTAGAGAACTGGCCTTCAGTGAGGGAAATAACACTAGTGAAAAAGCTGAAGGCTGACAACATCCCTCCTGCTAGGGCCATTCCAGGCCATCAGCAGCTTAAGCAGATCTTACAAAGACTGACCTTTAACAAATCAATACCCATAAATACTGAAAACTGCAAACAGCTACGCAGAGGTGAGCCAGCACAGCACAGAAAGGGAAAAGCACACTGGATTAGTGTTCACTCAAAAGCTTCTGCATCACCCAAGCACCTGGGTGCTGGCAGTTTCTCCCTCTGAGGATTACTGTTTCTGATCAGGTTGACACTGCTGACAAGTCAGCAGTTCTCTCTGTAGTTTGTCTTAGTCGATGTTCACCTGAGCCAGCTCCACTGTATTTGAAATGCAGCAGTTTCCCTCGCAGGAAGACAAGTGTCCCACTCAGGACTGTGACTCCAACAGGACCAGTACACAGAACAGTGGATCAGCCCAGCAGTCAGCTCATGACAAACACTTGTATGCCCTCTACATCACACCTGAAAAGGACTCTCACTTGTGGGTCAGACCTGTACCATGTCTCTTCCTGGCAAGAAGTACTGAGACAATATCAAGGTTACTGTGACCAGAGCTTACGCAGGGTAGTATTACACAAGCCACTGAAGCAGAAAAACCCCAGAGCCATGCCTGTATAAGCCCCTCAACACGGCTGTCTTCATTGCACGTGACTAGATGCCCATTTCTTGTATTTCAGAATCCCAACTGTCGCTGGCTATGCTCCAGGTCAGAGCCAGGAAAGCAGCGTGAGGCCTCCCTGCAGCAACAAGCTCCTGCTCTAAGGCTGTGTGTAATAAGGCTTGACTTCAAACAATGCTCACTGATTCAAACCACCACAGTCTTGCTTTCAAGGAGACCTTGTTGATAAGGCGATTCCGGATTCAGGCAGTTTCAATGCACAAAGCCACCAGCTGTAATCATGTCCTCCCATCTCAGCTTCTCCAGATCTCTTTCCCAGGCAAAGGGGTCCAAACTGCCAGATGTCAGATGACAGTCACCAGAAACTGATGCAATCTTCTTTGCACACCCCAGGGATGGCCAAGTGCAGACATGAGGAAGAGGAATCCAGAATCTACTTGAACGGCAGGATGTGTGACTTCACTGGAATACATTCTATTCACAGGAGGAAGATCCTTCTACGCTCACCCACCAAGCTCCACTGGACTCAGCCTGTCCCTTCCCCATCAGAAGTTACACCACATGTTACTTCCATGATACAGGAGTCCATCCCTTCAGGGATATGCAGACAGATGGTTTCTTTCTCCTCGAACTTAAAGTCATTAAAAAAAGATACAAAGAACTGCTTTTGGCAGCACATAGGCATTTGAGATTTGAAAAAATCTGGAGTGCAGGACCCAAGTAGATGGGGAAGTAATCAGTCCTTGACCTAATAAATAGAGTTGAAGGAAGTCTTCAAGGTGGCCAGTAGCCCACACATGAAACCTGAAGTCCTGCAGAGACCACTAGGAGCTTTAATGCACCACACTGCATGGGGGCGTCTCCTGGGACCCACTGCCATACAGTTTCTCTGACACCTTTTGTTAGGCTCATGGACTATTTGGAATCTTGAAGTTCCTTTGCCTTCTTCAAAATCAGGTGAACATCAGAGATAGGATAATCCTATGTCAAAAAACAAAGCAATATAAATGACTACCTAGCATTTCTTGTACACATTGTTCCACTTCAGCAGGGCAAACTGTGACAACAGCAATCTTGGCCTATTATAAGGTTCTGACATGTACAGTTACTCCCTTAACAGCTAACAGTTTCCTGTTTTGTAACCGATCAAGCCTCAATACCCTTCAAGGAGGCTTTTGTTTGCTTTTTTTAATTTGTCCTCCAAGGGTACAGTAAGCTGCTACAAGGGTTATCTTTGTGCCAGAAAGCCTTATCAAAGCCAGTATCTTGCGCAGCTCAAAGCAGGAACTGGCAGAATCAGAGATATCCTACTATGCAGTACGTGTGTTCTGAACCTTGGGCTCCCACAGATCTCAGAACTAAACAAAAGCCTCCGGCCAATAAACTTAACACTGTTACACAGGGTTTCACATCTTTCCTGGATTTTTTTTTTTTTCCAAACCGAAAGATGTTAAAAACCTCTAGTCTGTGACAATTTCTCTGTAGGCTGGAATGGGTGCACAATCAAAAGAAGGCTTTATTTTAATGGCAAAGCTGGGCTCCAGACAGCAGCACTGTGCCCCACCAACAGAAGATCAGAGAAGGAATACTACTCTCTGAAACAGGGCCTGTTGCTATTGTAGCACTAAAAAGGGGGAGGCAGGAGAAGAGAAAGAGAGTTAGAATGACAAAACAGAGATTGTACAGCCACTTTCTGCATGTGGAAGTGAAAACCCATTTAGCAGCACAGGGAGCAGAGACGCCACCAGCAAGGAAGTTAAAGCAGTCATCTGTCATGAGCTGTTTCCCAGCAGGTGGTGGATTCACACTTCCAGTAATTACCACACTGTAAGATCCACCTGAAGGTTCTTCTGCATGCAACCATCACAAATCTAGTACTTCTCTTCAGCCAGGCATATCCCTACTATCATCCTCTCACAGTACAATTTCAAGACTCTACAAATTACTCCCTGTGCCAACTATATTTAATCCTTACCTGCAGCAGCCTCATGTTCAGAGTGAAGTCTCCTTCCAGCAGCTGATCCCGGATTAGTCTGAAAGATGGAAATTATTCCAGGTACTTTTGACTCTTTACAGATGAAGTTTAAAACCAGACCACACTGTGCCCTTATAGAGGCTTCTGAAAACACTTCTGCTACCACTGTGACGAGTGACTACAACCTCTTCACCAGATGCCTTAACACATGCCTACAGAAGACTCATGGATCCGTGGGTTTAGGTAAAGGAGGGAAAGAAAAGAACAGGAAGGCTACCTCTGTACTTACGTCAACATGGCACAACAGACGAGCAGGAGGAAATCAAAGCGCTTATCATCAGCGAAGAGGGAGTCCCAGATACGGATGACATCTGGCAGCAGGAACTCTTGGGACAAGAGCAGCGTCAGCCAGCGAAAGGCAAAGAACTGGGGTTTGATGTTCTGTTCTTGCTGTCAGACATGCACCAGGCAAAGAATGAATACGTGCTCTCGGCCACTTCCCTACAGGTAAGAAATGTACCCCATGTTTCCATCCCCATCTCCACCCTGATATTGCTCGAAGCTGCCAACTCACACTGCAACATCAGCCAACCCACTGCCTCCTTTGGAGACTCTCACATTCAAGCTAGATTTTAAATGCAGCCACGCTCCACTTCTACACACAAGCCAGAAAATGCTCCCCTGTCCGTAACATGGAGTAAAGGAAGCTTTTATTCCTAAAGGCACTATTTGTGTTAGTTTCGTTAAACTTGCCAAGTAATTTCAACGTTCTCATTTGAACAGCATTTTATCTGCAAAGCCACAGTCCTCCCCCTCTAGCAGAGGAGCTGTTTTGTCAGGATTTCCTCTCCTTTCCAGAGCCCTGTGTTTATCAAAAGGTTTACTATTCACAAAAAAGAAACAGAGTTCACACTGATGGTCAATAAAACATACTGTAAGCGCTTCTAGCCTGAAGCTTTCTTGTTTTCTGCTGTTAAATCCAAGGGACTGTAAGTTTAATCAAGGTCAAACAAGTTCAGGATCCTGCTGATATTCTTAAGGACCAGCTGCTGCACAGCCAAGACCATTTCCTGCCAGTCAAACTGTTTATTTTCTCCCCACTGAATCAGCCACCAGCCAACACTGCAGGTCATGTGCTGACAATCTTTGGGATTGTAAAAGAAATATATCCTGATTTCTCTAAACACAAAAAAAAAGTCTGTGTGATTTGGTAAAGGTTGGAGTAACAAGAACAGTTTTCCCTTCCAAATTCTCCTTGGACTTTCACACCAAATGGCTTATAGGACCTGAAGATGTTTTCAACAAAAGCTGCCTTCTAGATGTTCTACAAAACCCACAGCAACCCAAAGCACTCCGAGCGCCTTGCATGAAGGCGAATGAGAGAATTAGGTGAGTGGGATGGACCAGTTTGCTTGATTTAAGTTTACTGCTGGAATGATCTCCATGCAGTTTAAGTTAGTGCTGTTAGAGCATCCAGTGGCAAAAATGTTGGAGGGTGGGTGTTTCGTTTTTAAAGATAGAGACACAATTCCTGTAAGCTCAGACTCCAAGGAACTCTGCAGCAAAACTCGCATTTTGCCTGATGACTAGAAGAAAGACTCCAGCTCCAACTAGGTCTCCACCCAGGTGACCAGGGATCGTGGCCAAGTCACTTTGGCCTCACAGCTGGCAGCTCTGCAACAATTATTGTTTGCTTTCACAGGCAGGCAGGGGAGGAAAGCCTTGCTGTGTCAGCTTGCTCTAGGCTTACTCCAAGGAGAGGCAGTTTCAACTCACAGATAAGAGAGCCTCTATGCCCTGTAGGTCCTTCATACACTCTTTCAACCTTTCTCTATTCAAACATCATTAACAGCTTAACAAAACTGTTTGACATTTAAATGCACTGTTAAGCTCCTCTCCTGCCATTCCAACTGAGACTCAGAGAAACATCTAGCTCCTCACCAGTTTCAAATACAGCTCCACATCTTTTTCCTTCAGGGTAGAGTAGACCTTCTCCATTTTGTAGGTAATACCACACTGCGAATCATCCAGGCTCTTAATGAAGTTGTCCCGAATTTCAGCCATTAGATTGGTAAAGCAGAAAAATGTGTCTGCTTCAGCATGTTCAAAATTAAAAATGATGGGGGAATAGAGGAAGCATCACTGACAAAGGCACACAGAAGTGTTCTTGCTCCATAACTGGGTTGCTGTACTGAATTCAAAGAGCAGATCCCACAAGATCTTGGCTTGCTTGGTCTGGGATAAGACTAGACACTTTTTTTTTTTTTTTTTTTAAAGCTAGAAATATCTAACGAGCCATTGCAGATACAAACCCTACATGCGACACAAGGTCTTCATGACATTGGGTCACACACGAGTTATCTGTGCCCAAGAATATCATCTGCTCTCCTCACCATCAGCACACACCCTTGGAGCTCCTGTGAAGTAGAAGCAACAAAGTACTCCCATTCTATTCTTTTCTTACCAGGTATATACAGTACGAGCAAACAAGGGCTTCTAAGGGGATTTTCAGTTTCACGAAGTGCAACTTAGATCCAGGCAAAATAAACAAAACCCCCTCAAAAATCCTTACTTCCCATGTCCTCACCACTCACAGCTCATTCAGTTTCTATCAATTTGCTCTAGACACCAAAACTCCTCATCTCTTGCTGTAATTGCTTTTTGGCCCCAGTCAGACAAAAATAACAAGAGTCTAATTCCCAAAACAGTTGTTAACACAGAGGGCATGCAGTACAACAGCCGTTACTGAGCGGCCAAAAGAGTCTCTCACCTTTCCATTCGCTGTTAGGATCTGTAGCAAAGGTGTAGTAAAGAGGCCCCACGATTTCATTCATCCCCTGAACGTAGGCTATCCCCGGGTTCAGCTTGGCATAGATGAACAGGATTCGCTCCACCACTTCCCAGTGAGCTTCACAGCCATTGGGCAGAACTTCATACTCACTCAGAGAATTAGGCGTTGTTTTAAGAGGGGAGCTTACCTGAAAAGCACAAGGCTAGGGCTGATTCAGGATATCCAGCCACCATGGACAGTTTTGTACACGTGGCAAGCTGCGCTTTTAATACACATAGGCCCCCAAAAGATTTGGGCAGCTTATACCAAGCAGGCAGGTGCTCACATAAACCAAGACAAGTAACTCGGGAAGCACAAAGGCAGTGAAGTCCTAGCGCTGGCTGTCTCTGAAGAACAAAACAGTCTGTGCAGCAACAGACACTTCCCCTGAATCACTGCGCCACCTGATCCCGTGCAGGAAGAAACCACAACAGTTCCACTTCTTTGTTAGTACTACGAGGAAGAGTATAGATCTGCTGTGGTAGCAAACCACCTTCCCTAACAGCATGTGGCACTTGTACAGTAAAGCTCATGGAAGAGGAAAGAGACAACACATATTTCAGCAGATAGCCAGTCCTTTTTCCACTTACAGGTTTATGAGATCCACTTCTGGAAGACTCTGTAAATTCAGCTTCAATAAATTAACCCTTCAGTGTTTTGCTCCCATCAAAAGACAGATGTTAATCATAAAATACTCGCATCTTCCTGTGACTCCCAACTTCCACCAGAAGTCAGGAAAAAATAATCTTTAAATACACCTGTAATTCCCTACTAACTGTCAGGCATACCAACTGTTTTTACAAAGCTGTCTAGCCACCAGAATACACAGCACCTGCGGGGGTATTCACTTAATTCACCACACAAGCAGAAAGAGAAACAGAAAAAAGCCTGAGAAACACCCTTCCCCTTATCAGCTAAGCCACCATGCCCCATGGACAGCCCCCACCTAGATCTCACATTTGTAACCCCACTGCGGTTTCGTGCCACCGTCTGTGACTTGAGTGTGGTCTGCTCCACCCGCTTACGCAGCGTCTCAAACTCATTTTGAGGGTCCAGGATTAAAAGGCAGGGATAGTCCGTTGGGCGCTGGAAGAATGCCATGTCAGGGTACAGCCTCCTAGGATGGATATGGGAGGAAATCAGGCAGAAGAAGAAGGAAGTACATGCCTCATGTTAAACGGGGCTTGGTTTAATATTAAACTCTGTTTTCAAAGTACAATGTGTTAACCAAACCACTCAGGTTCAGAAACCTGAGTCATTATGCCTCACGCACCTGACATCTTTGTCTATCTGGAGAAGCACTTCGTTATCCTTGAAGTAAGTATTCCATCGACTGTCTGGATTTGGATTGAGGGGCTAAAGAAATAAACAACAGAAACAGAACAAGCATGTTTCACATGCATCAAAATCCTCAGTAAATAGTGATTTAAACACTTCTGCCATCCCTCTGTCATCTAGTACCAGCACGCTCTGAGCTCATCAGGGTTTTTTTTTTTCTATCACTAGCTACAGTTAGTGCTGTTTCTTCACACAGTGTGCAGAAAGTGGATCAGAGCTTGTGAAGCAAGTGAGCATGCAGGTTCACTTCAAGAGGCAGAAGCCAACATTTCCAATCCCTTTTCACCTGCCTCTTTAATGACATTGTTCCCAGACCAGGTATCCTGTCCTGTGTCAACAAGATTCCTGGTTGCAGCTCCAACCTGCACAATGGAGATGTCTTTGTACTTAGGGTAAGAGTTACCCACCCGCTCAGCACTTAAGAGTTGTGGTTCTTAGTTACAAGTATCCCCCTGTATCTGAGCTCTGAGAAGGCTGATTAAGCACCACCATCATGCACAGGAAAGAGTTAAAACTTATTACTCTGAACAATCTATCCAGTAGCTGACAAGTTTTCCAATACGGAAAACTTAACTCCCCCTCCACACACACACACTTTCTCCACATCAAGATCCTTGCAAAGTTAACAACTAACTGAGAGAAGAAAAAAAAGAAAAAGCAACATTCCAAGAGATTCAAAGATCACTGCCACCTGCCAACGTGTGGAGTTTTACAAACATGCTAGTTTTACAGCACCAAGGCCTCCAGAGATCACAGTGGCACAGATGACTGCACACTAGCAGAGAAGTTAATGTTCAAGACATCATGGAAGCAGTTTTATCATTTTACAGTCTCTTCTGATCAGTTACTTCACTCTCACCCCCAACACATACACTCTTAACAGTACTTTCAGAGAAGGTGATGCAAGAAACGGTCAATTAAAAGAAATAAAAAGCCAGCAGCAGAACTAGAAATGAGTCCCCAGCCTTCTGTGCCATAGTCCAACTTGACTCTCCTGCCTCTTCTACATCCTCTGTTCAGATCAGCCTGCTCTGAGTTCACCAGTGGACCTGACTTCCCAGTGTATCTTTGCTAGAGGTACCTCTTGTGAGCCTCTCCCTTCCCCAAGGAAACCCACAGCCTGGGCAGCTGGTCCCAGAGGAGGGGAGAAGGGATATGCTTAGCTGAAAACAGCTCTCCTCAGAACTGCTGGTGCTTCGCTAATAATTCACACTGAAGGCTACTAACACAAGTGCCAGGCTGGTACCTAGGAACCATCCCTCCCGCTAGCACAGCAGAACAGTTGAGAACAGAGCCAAGAGCTGCCCAGGGGGTCCAGACTCCAGAACAATAGTTTGCAGCTCTGAGGAGTTTTCTGCAACACAAAGGCATAACGACACTTACGTGATCTTCTAAGGTGACATCTTCCCTTGAAACACCCAGGTTGGCTTTGGCGATCCCAGGCTGGATAATCATTTCCTTTAGGAACTGGGAATACAGATCCCTTAAGGAAGAAAAGGGGAATTTGCAATGAAGCAGAAGATTAAATCAACATAAGCACCTAGACTGAGTTCAAAAAGATCTCTCTGTACCACCCTGCTCAGCCAGAAGGCATTTGATTTTCTCTTCAGCTGAATTTCACTGAAGAGGTCAATCCACCAGACAGTGCACAGAACAGTACATTCCACACAAGAACAATTCATTTTATGACGATACTTAATTATTTAAGGAACTATTCTCCTTCTCTACAGATATCATTAGAAATAATGCAGCAAGTACTGATGTCCTCACCTCTGTTTCTTCAGCAAAGAGCTCCATAAGGATTTCTCTAAAGGGAGGTAGTTCAGGAGTATCTGCACAGAAGAGAGATGCACACAAATTAGTATCTGGAGAATAAGCTGTTACAGCTGTAAGATAAGAAAACCAAACACAGTGGCTGCAACTCGCTCTTTGAAAATACTGGGAGCTTTCTCCAGAAAGCCTAGTGCTTTGCCAAGCGGCAGTCAGGAGTACTTTGGGGACTGGTTTTCAACACAGACCTATCTGTAGGACTGATCGATAGCTAACCTGATGGAAATGCACTCCTAGCTTAATAGGGAGGGCTGTTCTCCTGCAAAGGGCAGACTGCCACTCGCTATCATCCACAGCAATGGCTGTCCTGTGTCAGTAAATGCTATTGTGATTGTGCCAGTGCTGATCTCCACAAATTACTGTCGATTTGGAGTGGCTTTTAAGCTCTGGACTTTTGTTGTTTACAATTTTAAGTGCCCCAAAACAGCATGTACTTAAGCAACCCGAAGCATCACTGGCAAGAAACAAAAGCACCCCAAGCAAAACCCACCTTCCAGCACAGGCAGCGCAGCCCACCATCAAAGGGAATTCCTGCGGAACATCAGGCAGAGAAATAACTCCGTTAGCCCCAGTTTCCTCGCCGCGGTTTGCTAACGACACCACACAAACAGGCGAGGCAGCGTTTTTCCTCCCCAGGGGGCAAGAAGTTTTCACAGGGAGGCTGTAGGGGTTATGCCGGTGCCTCTCACGGCGGCGGTGGAAGCAGAGAGCCGGGGACCGCGCAGGTGACAGACAGGGCGCAGCAGAAGGAAAGCCACAGGCATCCCGGAGAGGGGGGCGGAAGGGTTTGCCGGGAAGTTTGTGCCTGTACTCAAAAGGTCGGGTGGGGACCGCTGCGGCCTGATGGAGCTTGGGCTTGGAAATGCACCCGCAGCCTCGGGTTTCCAACACCCGCCGCTTCACAGCGGCTCCAGGAGGGGATCACCCGGCGGTAGCGGAGGCGGCCCGAAGCTGTCGGACACCCTGGGCCTGACGCCCCGAGCCTGCGCCTTCGGGGGGTCCCGAGCCCCGGCGGGGCCAGTACTAGCCCCGGGCCACCGCCGGCGGGAGCTCCCCGGGGGGGCTGGGGCCGTGCCCAGCACGCTCCCCCCGCGGCCGGGGCCGGTGCCCGCAGCTC